ACGACGTGCTTACGTATGAAAGAGTTAGCTAGACACCGCGTGTGGAAGCAAAAACCACGTCTTAAGCAAACCGTTTATAATGACAACAAGTGTTCAATTGTTCAATACAATGCCGTTACATACGCTGCGTGACGTATAGATTGATTAACTACCAGTGAACACCATATATGATGTACGAGCACATAAAGTACATTCCTTCAGCGCGCATTGTTCCCTGTCGTTGTCAATATGAATACATTTCTGATTTTATTTAAACTTAAAGAATAAAATCAACCATTTTGCTCCAAAACAATGGCGCGACTCGGACTGTCAGACAGCATGCGTTCGACTACATCCATCGATGAGATAGGTCATCAGCACTCAGCATCTCCCCCGCAGCCGCTTCGTCGACCTTGGACAGCATCGAAAGCGAAAGTGAGGAAACTGGTTAACGAGCAGAAATTCCGGAAGAAGACCTTAACCTTATTGTTTCTTAATCCATTGCGACTTATTGTCGGGGGCGTGTTGGCGATTTTGGTTCAGATCGGTGCCAGCAAAATATTTGGAGCTACTATGCAAACCTGGGTTGGTAATCATGTAAGCAGTGACGCGCAGTTTGAACGAATGGATAAGAGCATTGATTTGCTGGGCGGTGATACTTGGAGGCTTCAGACAACCGCCAATCGATTTCTACAGAGCTGCCAGGAAGTACGTTCAGCGGCGTCTTCGCAGTCAAAAGTGTTTCAGCTCACTTTTACAAGAAATTTTGATGACAAAGTGAAGACACAGATTGCTGAGCACGAGGTCATGATGAAGGAAGTGATACAGTACTACGGGCAACAGAAGCGGCAGGTTTTAGAAAGTAGGAAACAGCTTATGAGGGTAAAACATTTCTTTCCGATGAAGCAGAGAGGTGAGACGTTACAATACTCTGAGCAGAACCCGATGAGGAAGCTGACAGACATGATTAAACAACAAGACGATCATGATGAAAGACGTTGCTCTGTTTGCAGAAATAGTACAGCAGCAAGAAGGAAGTAATTATCAGTCTTTTGACCGATTTGAAGGTTATGGTCAAGACACAAAAGCGGATCATTACAAATCGTTTGCCTTTTACACGATCATTGCGTTGGCTTCGATTATTTATATGTGGGCTTCGCTATCACATATGTACAAGTGTTATATCTTGAAGAACACGTGGACATGGTTTCCGATTTCGAAGGCCCTTGCTTGGCTTAAGACATTGCTCGGCTCAGTCATGGTAAATAGCGCGAGTTCCGTTCAACAAAAATAATAGTTGTTTACGTTTGTATTGTTTTGTTGTGCTAATTCAGGTCATTAAAGATCCACGACAATCTTCCAGGTCGCAAAGTCATGTCGCTTTAAATGATCCTATTCTGTGATGTACTGGAAAACTCAATGTGTTGAGTTTTGGCGTAATTGGCGTTGCTAGAGGTCCTTGCCTGCAGATTGCTCGTCGGATAAGCTCTTTTTTTCGCTCAAATGACGTTCGCACGCTGGCGGGTGTATTGGCGATATATTCGGTCAATATATACACAAGAAGAAATGCAAAGTGTTCCAAAATCAATGCGACAATGAAGCGCGACGGAATGTCAAAGCAAGAGAAGGCGGGCCCCATGCTAAAAAGAAAGTTAATCTAGTGATCGAATTAAATTTAAAAATAAAGGGCATGCCTACCTGAAGTCCGCCCCGTTGAATCGTTGTAGAGACAAGCATTCCGAAATGAAGTACTCAAGCTCGCCAGTGCTAACACAAATGAGCCCTACAACTACAAAGATGCCCAAAAATAGAGTTATGTAAAGCATCTTCTCCCATTGTCCGATGCTGTTCGTTTTTCGAGGAACTGGTCTTCGACGTAGAAGAACGAGTTTGTAAAAGCAATTTTGAATATGAATAACGTTGTTTGCAAATGCTGCTATCGCGCAGAACGGCCAAACAGCTGAAAACATCACCACGTATCCCTGATGTGGTTGATACTAAAAATGAGTTTCGTTATACTGCCAGCAGTGATACTTCACGTACGTATTGGATGGCCATCCGTAGATAGTCGGGCTAGAAAATACATAAAGCATCAGAACTTCATAACTCAAACGTCTACTCTTCATTGCAAAAGTTTTGATTACGAAGGTATTATACAGCGGCAATTGACTCTCCTCAAGAACATCATCGGCTGTCATAAAGTCTGAAGAATTTTTTTTTAATGTTGCAAGAGCATCATGCGTATAAATCAGAGCTTACACGTTTCATTTTCAAACCCCTCCAACGTGGGTATAGATACATTCAATAAGCGTTCCAGGTATGGAATTCGAATTGGTGTCATCATTTGAAGCTTTGAGGTGAATTGTGACAAGTTTACACGTAAGATTCACAGAAATACACTGTTACAAGCCTGAAGCCTACCTCAATCTTGTTCTTAAAAGCCAAATTACATGAAGATAGAGACTGGTTATGGCTGACAAAAGTATTTTCAAACGATGAGTGATACTCTGAAAGCGCAAGCAGCGTCTCTGCTGGATTGGCTCTCATTATTTTTTTTGCCAGCTTCGACACCCGTGATGTGTCTCGCCGAAAAATGATTGGCAACGACGTATCAATTAGCAGGTTCAGCGCTTGCGTGATGAGAAGTGGAGTAACGAATGCTGTCGACATATCAATGACACCACCATGCCACCGCACCGTGAGTTTAGTGTACTTAATATTTGATGACAACCATGTTTCGACTTCGCTCCCAAAAGGTATGATCACAAATGAGATGAGCATAAACCAGAGGAAAAAAGAAATCCAATTAATAGCAAAAATACGATTGATCATCGTTTGTTGAAAATGCTCTTCCATAACATGGTTTTCACGTGTCACAAAAAAATGGATAAGTTTTACACTCAACAAGTATACAGCAACGTCCAGTGAGATTCCAAGCAAAATTCCTTGAACGAAGATATAACACCATCTTCCAGAAAACAAAATGGGTCTTTCTGTGTTGAAGCACGACAAAAAGGCGACGCACTCATGACATTTACTGCACACGGGGGCCATCATTGCAGCGGTATACCATTGAACGAAAAACGCAGTCCCCACGACATAGGTAGCAATGAACAATGCGAATACCATTAATGTTTGCATGTAGACAGGAATTCTGAGGAGTGGGTTGTAAAATGGCTCTCTAAAAAGAAAAATTCCATGAGAGTCCACCACGTCGCGATAACCTTGTGGCTTAAACGTTGCATTAGAATAATTAGCTTCTTTAAACAACCTCAGATTCCACGCATCATTTAGCAGGCTGTTTTGTCGTGCCCAAGCTTTTATAAGAAGAGGCCCCCAAACTGACGCTGTAAAAAAGCCAAAAATGCACAATGCTCTCATGTACGCCACTGCCCCAAACCACCTACATGATACATACACGACACAACCCACGAAAGCTGGAACAAGCAAACACTTTGTGTAGACAAACAAAAAGCTAAAGTAAAAAGCCACACGCTCCCCATAATAATATCGTAGCTCGTTCGTGATCTCGGTAGAGTTCCACCACCACTGTGCACACTTGGCCAATAGTTGACTATCCACATATCGATTATGGAGAGGAAAGCAAGACATGATGATGCTTTCATTGCGATTTAGCTCTTCGAACGAAATGTTTGCACCGGGTGGATTCAGCTCTTCCACATTGGCCGTAGATGTAATGATGCGAGCAATTGTTTGAATGCGTTCAGCAGGCGTAAACTGTTCGTCTTCAAGTTCCACCCGTTTGATAGTTTCGTATTGACCTTCTTGAAACAGCGGTTCGGTGTCATCAATGTGGCTCGATGCGATGAGCTCTTCAATTTCAGATGGTACCTCACCTACAGCTCCAATTTGCAGCCAGCGCTCAAGCGCCAATCGACTTTTTTCGGTCTGTAGTCTCGATGTGGATGGTCGCAAAAGTAGCACTAAATATTTACGGGAATACAAAGTGCTGGAAAGTACAGAAATGTCAAATCCTGCATTAATGCAACGGCTAAGCACCTCCATCTGTCGTTTCCCTATTGCATCCAATCCATTTCGAGCAAGAATACGCGGTGTTATCGGCTTATTATGCAAAATTAGCGCGAACTCGTACTTCATTCGATAATCCACATCAGGAACACTTGGAATGACATTTCCATGTCGAGGAGACCAGACTCGAGGTATTGTATTCTTTGACTTTGCGATGTGCGATGCGTAACTAGTTGATGACCACGAGTCCTTCATACCAGTAGAAGGAGCGAAATGCTTGACCAGATAATCCAAGGATTTAGTGTGTGTATGCGAGCGATGCCGAGATCCATAACCAAAAAGCTGGGGATTCGATACCCCAGCGTAGCACTTTAGACGCTGATAGCAATTCCGGCCAGATCGCTTCACCTCTTGTTCCGTGTCGTTAAGAGCCTCACTCGAATTATTCGGAATTGCATCGCGCGAAAGCGCATGGGGTAAGACACTGGAACGATAATCCACTCGCGGTTCGGTACGACATTGCTGAATCATCGATAGTGATGCTTCTTGATGATCGGTATCATCGTGTGTAGCTTGAGACGTTGACATTGTTCGTATATTTTCCAAGTCGACGGCTTGAATTGATTCAGCCTTCACTCGACCACAGCTGAATGATAGTATAACTCCACGTCCCACAAAGTCTCGACAATTACGTATCATTTTGGGTCACTTTGCTCTATAGAGGGTTAGTAGTCGCGCATGAAGGGGCGCGTCGTTTCGTGTCTTCATGTTTAAAACTGTGCTAGTACCGAAATCAATCATGGACCCGCAATCGGTGGAGGCTGGAGAGGCCTATCTTAATTCCATGGGCTTTCGATCGCTGATCGAATGGATGACAGCGGAGGTGCTCTTGTCCCGACCGGATGACCCGCTTAAGTTTTTTCAGGCCTTGCTTCAGGAAAAGATAGGAGAGGTTTCTTATTGAGTTGTTGTACTTAGGGCTGGTTCCTTCACAAGCATATCTATCTTGTTGGCTAGAGAAAGAGTGGCGAGAATTTTCATTGTGAACACACCCAAGCCTACTTAAGGCAATGCTACGCTGCAGCAAGGTTTACAAGCAGCGAATATTTAGCGTACAAGTACACATTTAACTAATGCTTCAACAATTTAATGGAATAGTGCCTCGGCTGATGACAACGGTCGAATCGTGATCAGACCTCGAAAATTTGCGTGCGCATATCGATATTTGTCGCATCTAACAAACGCTGCTTAATTCCTATGTTGGACTTGCGATCAGTTCGTCGTCATCAATTAATAATGTGCCAACAGTTAAACCCGGCAACGACTCGGCCTTATTTCGTCGATTGTCTAAGATGGAGCAAGTCATTAAAGCGTGCCGCATTATTGGCTCGGAGTTAGATCCCACTGAAGGTTGGGTTCTTGACAATTATTACAAGTGGATTTATTATATATGTCGCACTTACCAATTTATTCGTGTAAATTCTAGCTACCAAGATCATTATAAAGCAAGCTTGCGCTGTTTTGAATGCGGAGCGCGCAACTCTATTTATTTACGTAGGGTTCGTACATCACTTCATACTTCGTTGTATTTTTTAGTATCATTTGTTGGGTAGGAACGAGCTACAAATATGCTCGTTCTCAAAGTATCCGAAGGTGCCACAGATATTCAAGTTCCTTTTGGGAAGGTAAGCCTGACTGACCTGTTGCTTTTGCGATTCCTGACCAACACATCTCTGACACGATTGCATTTACTTGGAAAGTAGGGAGTTGCTGGTACGGTGGCAGCAACCGGAAAAGCTATGAACATTGCAGATGCATACGCGGATCCGAACTTTGATTCACAATACGACCATCGCAATGGCTACCAGACACGATCAATGTTATGTGTACCGGTCCTTAACGGTGCAAATAATATCGTGGGGGTCATGCAAGTGCTAAACAAAATTTCCGTAGATAGGAAAGCACGATTCTGTGATGAAGATGAGGAGATTCTAACATCTTTGGCAGCTCATGCAGGCGTGGCACTTCACAACGCTGATACTCATGCTCTTGCGTGCATCGCACGTCAAAGAGTCAAAGAAGTACTAAGCATTGTGCAGGATATGCATCGTGATCTAGGTTTCATCTCATTGATGTTCGCTATCTCGACAGGTATCCAAAAGTTCGTTAATTCGGATCGCTGTACTCTCTACATTGTGGATCATGCTAAGAATGAGCTCTGGACCTTGCAAGGTGAATTGAATATTCGTGTTCCGCTAAATCAGGGCATTGCAGGTGCAGTCGCAATGAACAATGAAACCGTGAATCTTGCCAATGCCTATGATGATCCGCGCTTTAATAAGGAATTTGACCAAAGGCATGGCTACCGGACTCGAAGCGTGTTAGCTATGCCTCTCCGCAACGCGATGGGTGATGTGATTGCAGTCGTTCAGCTGATCAACAAACTAGATATTAGCGGTGAGTTTTCAAAGGACGACGAAGAGCTGTTGGGAACCTTTTTGCAGATCGCTGGTCCCATCCTATTCACCTCGCACTCACACCTGACGCTTTCGTTACCGCAAGCAAAAGGCGATCAAGTGACAGAGTTCACCGGAAAAAGTACGCGCGAAACGCAAGAGTCAGTAGAGATGAACGTTATCTCCGAGGGTGATGAAAACGAAGCCTGAAGAGTGGCCTTCCTTACCAGACGCCAAAATTCTTAGTTTAAACATCTGACTCTTTTTTGATTTACAAGGCATCTTTGATTTCTGTATTGTTCTAACAAACTCCTTAAAATACTTTTAATTTTCTCAGTCAGGACAAAAGCTTCATCGTTGCAAGAAAAGAAAATCAAAATTCTACCCGAAAATTTTTGGCCGTCAAATAAAGTCTAATGACAATGAATTCACTTTTTTCAGAGCTAAACATGTGCTAAGCCATTAAAAATAAATGCTAATCATCATATATTTTGATGGTAGTGCTTAGATACATTCTGATTGAAATCTGATCCCGGATTGGCATTTGATGATATATAACAAAATACCGTTCATTATCCGTTTCCGTACAACTGTTCTGGGCCTAGACATTGGTGGGTTCAAACTTACTTTATGCATCATTACATTTTTTATTAATTGTATTGCAAATTACATTGGCTTGTATTCGTAAGTACGATTCTATACGATGATTTTTTTGCCGTCTAGGGTTTAGACATCAATCCGAGTAGCTAGGTTGTGCGCTCTTGGTACCAATACTTTCATTGCATTTTGGGAACGCCGCGGATGTGCTTCATCCTGCTTAAAGAACCACAGCCTGTATGTATCACTCGCTACTTCGGATTTACTAAGCATATTTTTGAGCACAACATTTTCTGATTCTGTTGAATTTCGCTGTTTGCAATGCGTAATACTTTATGCTTATTTGTCTGCTTCTCATCTAATCGCTAAGAGTTATCTATCAATGCTGAGCAAATGCTATTTCGGATGAACATTAATTTAAAGCATAACGAGCGCGAGAAGTCGCTCCGCGAGCGCCTTATTCACCCAAAAGTCATCAGAAGCCATCGGTACTGTTTTCGATTAGAGCATCAGCAGTTAAGAAAACCCGTACCTTCACAAATGATGTATCTAGCTGGCGATGGTGCCAATGCGTACATGACTCAGATCGCGGACTGGGTGAGTTAAACGCGCCGACTTATTACTTTGCAAGGCAGCTTCAGCGAAGCAGACGCCCGCTTCGAGCGTCACATCATGCTTGACTTTGTAAAGCTCAAAGATCGACGCGGACGTCGAGTTGACAACCCTTCACCACAACTTTGCTGTATACTGCCTTACTTGGCCCCATAATACATTTAGAATATCTACCGACCAAGGGTTCTATTCATCGCAAAGTCTGTCACCTTCACTAGTATGATGCACGCTGTGATGTGAGACTATGCCTCTTCTATAGATAGATGCTAAGATTACGCCAGGTCACAAGTGGCCACCGCACCCGAGCAATCTTGCCGAAGTGAAGCCACAAACTCCCGAGGTTTAGGCTGAAAACTCGTTAACATGACCCGCTACTGGTAACAGCTCTGGGGTACTTGCCGACTGTAAGAGAGCGCTGATCACAAACAGTTCCTCAAACGCACATACGTTTGTGCTACTCCCGACGTGGAGGGGCGAAGAACGACTTGAGGGCTTAAACGCAAATATGCAATTGAATATGAATAAGGTGATGACACCCCAAGGGCTCCTAGAGGTTCTATTGATAAAACCTTGGGTTTCCATCAATCTGGTTTATATAATCAAAAGTGTACTGATGTTGAACCTCAGCTTGAATTTATACAAGATCTTGGGTGTACGGAGCTTGAACTTCGAAAAGGTTGAGCTTTAACTTTCGTGGAAAGTTCCCAGCAGAAGTGACTGGCACCTCAAAACATCAGAGACACGATGGTCTCGTCACCAGGATAAATTCACAAAAAAATCAGTGTTCTGTACCTCACATAAAGTTTGTTGCCTTATACAAGATGTCACACATGCATGTGGGGGCACCATACATTAATTTTTAATGTTATAAATTTCCATGATACACATGTCTGCATCTTCATGAAGTGGCTGAGTGAAGCCCATTACATTAATCTCAGAAGTACTTGATACTCGGGCTGACCTTTTAACGCTCCAATGAATCGATCATGGTATCAAGCCCGCGTTTAATAGAGTTCTTTGCTTCAGCAGCAAAAAAGCAGTTTCAGAACTCTTTGACGTTATCCCCGTTCTCAACCGAGACAAAGTTCTACATGAAATGTTTCTCTTGCTAGCGTCAGATCAACAATCGTGATGATCTGGTCCGATCATAGCACTATTGGCGGATATAAGATGAAGCGTCTGTTTTGTTGAGTCGGCGGTGGCAGGACTCCCAACACGACAGAGCAGAACGTAGCTCTGGTCGTCGTAGTTTTCCCTCTAGCAACACTCCAAGCGATTGCCGCGCATCGGAACTCTGTAGGAATGTTGGTGATTCCACCGCTTCTTTTTACGATAACGAGTCCATCCATCGTTGTGATTGACAATAGAATTAACCACACAGCGATGCTCTCCCTAAGAGTTTAACAGCATAGGTGGGGTTGAACGTGTAAACGACTGAACGGTTCGGAAGTGGAAGAGCGATCATTGCTGGCGGATCGAGGCATTACAGCAGCTTTAACCGACGCTTGAAGATCGCTGCAGCCTTTTAAACCCTTGGTGCAGAGCAGAACTCAATTATTGACGTGTAGACTGATATTTCAGTCCAGTGCTCGGCGTTGGAGTTCCAATTTGAGCCACGGTTCTCTTAAGTTTATGATGAATGAGCCCGACCCCAACCCGTAAGCTGGCTATTGAAGAGTTTTAGAGTTCGCAATGGATTGTAGTACTAAGCGATTGAATGGGGTTATAGCATGGGTCGTTGGTCCTGATGACAAAGTTTGCGCCACCGGCACCGATACATGTACAATTACAACCCTTTCGGTAGCCATCTCGGACGTGAGAAAACGTTTGTCAGTCCTTACCGGGATTTTTATTGGCCCATGAATAAGTGAGTGCGCAAGTATGTGAGGCTGGCAAGATTTGTTCGAGAATGAAGCCATCGGGCACCATTTCGGTTGTGATAGATACCAGCTGACAGCTGAAAGTCTGTGAGTTGAACTATATATTTTGACTTTCGCGTGACACACATGGTCGTTCATGTGTAGATGATATATCATACAGTGCTCTGTAGGAAGGCTCCTTAAAATTCCGCAACAAGTCCTGACATGTCATACCAGACTTGCTCTCTTCGGCATTCGGGCACTGTTATTATACGCCGGTTATCTGAGCACGTTTACATTTCGACATGGTTCGTGCATGTTTCGCTTCTGAACTTTGGATCATAGCCCTGACGTCTTGACAACGTATCGGCCAAGATATTTGTCTTGCCTGGATTGTAGTGTACAACAAAGTTGTACTCCACAAAGAAGTACGATTATCGTGCCAGTTTCTTGCGATAAGTCAGCACTCTTAGCAGCCGCAAGCAGCGAGGCACGGCCCGTATAGATCACAAAGCGCTCTTCTCCAAGCAATCACACACGAAGGTTGACCAAGACATACTTCACCGCAACAAACGTTTTGTCAATAACTAGATAGCTCCGTTGCGCGATCCAAAGTCTTCGTGATTGATACAAAATAAGTCGCTCTTGACCCTCATCATCGTGTTGCATCAACACAAAATCGATAGCATGATCGTTTGCATCGTAGACCACATGGAAAGACTTGCCATGTTTGCAATAAATAGGACAAAAGCTACTCGCCAGCTTCTTATCTCACTTTGGCAAATCCAGCCTGGTAATCATTTGACCATTCCGACACAACGTCCTTCTACAAAAGGGTTGCACTAACGCTGCATCATTGCGCGTGTATCTGTGCAGATAGTCGGCTAAGCCCAGCCATTGTCGTATTTGTTTTACATCGTTTGGCACAGGCCAATTAATGATAGTTTTGAATTTCTTAAAATCTACTCGCACGCCATTTTAGCCCACAAAGCAACTGAAAACTGAAACTAGGGTACAAAGAAAATTCACTCTCAGGTTAGCGTAATGTTTTTTCTTGCATATTTTGCAAGACTTGACGAAGATGATCAAGACGAACATCGACATCAGACATCGCACTCGTTTTCTCACAATGAAATAATATATCATCAAAGTAATTCGGTGTTACCTCTCTCAATGGAAGAAGCAGATTCGCGATTATAATGTTGTAGCATTCCTTTAACCCTGTAGCGTCGCTAACCATTCCCACAGCAAATGATTGGGCGTACTGACTGCTGTTAGTGGTTAATCTTTTCCGCGCTTTTATATCTGATATAGACCGTCTTCCAGATTGATCACACTGAAAGCTGCACTTCTATCCATTCCATCAAAAATCATACCGTTGCGTGGGACAGAGCTCTACACTAATACGGTCGCATTATTTTAGCAAATTACATTCATGAACATTGCAAAATCCATCAGCTCCATGCTTCACCCATTAAACGGAGCTATAATGCGGCCTCACATACGACCATACTTTCTTTGCTGAGCAAGAGTCCGTCAATTGCAATGACTCATTCTTTTGGCACCGACCACTGCCGGGTTACTCAACACTTCGTACCAGGAAGTATGTCAATCTTGAGCTTTCTAGTCCGTCTGACACCTTGTCTGGGACTATATCTTTATATTTTTCTTGTCAGTTTCGCTCACAGGATTGAGTCTGAGGGCATCCCGTGACTGCCCCGCAAGTCTCTCCATCCGTATCTTGTTATCCAGCAGTAATTAATACAATTTTGATAGTTTCTTCATCGAACCTTTCGACGATAACATACAATCGACAAATTCCACCTTTCTCAGGCAGCGCGTTGGTGCATTATAAGCACGGAAAACAACATTTTGATCGAGCTCGGAGAATCTTCAAGCTTCACGTGACGGCTTACATCGACGTCAACTTCTTTGTTCTGGGCCACAACAATCAAAACTCGCTCGAGTTGACGTTTTCTTGAACACTTCCTTGGTCAATACAGCTTGTAACTTGGTCAGAGGCATCTATACGGCATATAATATTTGGTGGTCTTCCTTTTCTTCTGTTAGGATGGTTGTTTGCCTCTAGCCTCACTATTCCTCATACTTCTATCGCTCAAGACCCCCATGTCGATGACAAAG